TCATTCATCCATTGTTGATACAGTAATTAGACCAGTTCAATAATTCTCACATATGTCTAGCTAGCTTTCGTTTACCAAAGCTGTAAGCAGACTTCCTAACAAACAGTCATTTCTCTTAGTTTTGTTGTAATTTTTTTTCGTTATGTTTTATTGCCGAGCTTGCCACAACAAAGAGAGCTGAACTCAGGTGTTGTGATGTGTTTTTATCACATAACGTTAGTCATGCGTCTGGTTCGGATTTCTTATTGCGTGTGTACTGTGCTTGTACAAACTTTAGCTTACTAACAGTGCACTTCCCGACTGTAATTTTTCTTCAAATCAAATAAATCTTGACACTGTTGATGTTGATTCCTGCGATTATCATGAGGACATAGTCAATATGTCACATTATTATTAGGCAGTGGTGGAATGTAACGAAGTACAAATACTTTGTTACTTTACTTAAGTACATTTTTCACGTATCTTTACTTAAGTAGAATAAATAGTGCATACTTTTTACTTTTACTTCGTTACATTTTGCAGCAATTGTTATACTTTCTACTCCACTACATTTCTACAACTTCTGTTACTTTTTCATTACATTTCCTGATCAGTGACGTTTGGTTGCCATAGATGTATCAACCCGGTCACACTAAATGCGTCTCGAACGCAGTGTGTTTACGTGCATAGTAAACGCACCGTGTGTAATAAACGTTTGGTTAGGATTATGGCAAGCCAAGAGGTTCAGAATTACACCATAAATTAATCGCGTTTACTGCCAAACATAGTTATTAACATATAGTTAGGAAAAGCATGATGTGTATATTGCCTAATTGCAAGCTTGTTTCAGAAATGGTGACAACAATTTTTTTCCATAATTATTGATCATCATTATAGGAGTATTAGGTTGAATGAGTTAGATTTAAAGGTTTTATTAATCATTAGAAAATAGACATTAAGAGAATAAATTGTTATGCAAGTACTTTTACTTTTAATACTTAAAGTACATTTAAAATCAGGTACTTTTTACTTAAGTATGGTTGCCATTGTGTTACTTCTACTTTTACTAAAGTAAATATTTATCTGGTTATTTGTACTTTTACTTAAGTACGGAGATTCAGTACTTCGTCCAACACTGTTATTAGGACATATAAGCCTAGACGTTGTAAATAGTGTAATTGAACACAATTTGCTAACTATTATGGTAAATTGTAATAATCATGTCTAATGAAATCAATACAGCCAATGTTATGAAGTAATGCGACTTACATTTAACTTTATTGATGTCATCTGACATTTTGTAATGTTTACATTACAATCAAATACACAAATGAAATTATACAGTAGGGCCTAGTCCTACGCTATAGGCAATTTAGCAGAAATCATGGAAAAACGTAATAAGCCAGCAAACGTGATAGGCAACTTTATTATTATAAAGTAGTTTAACTCTTGACATATAGTTATTATTAACCTATTACCATCATCAGTAGTTCAGTAGATATGCAGTAACAGGGCAATAACGGTTATTTACGACAGTGCAAGTACACCACAGAGGCTCTAGGGGTCACTGTTTTACAAAAACATCAGAGCTGCATATTGTTGCTTTAACAAACAGACGGCCACCATTCAATCCGAAAGAAGTCATATGACCATTTCAATAACTCTGAAGCTGTTCAGTTAAGCTAAAAAAGCTGCATAGTGTCCCTTTAAAACTCATGCCCATGATGCAGTTACGATTATATATATCCACCAGAAGTCCTCTTGTCAACATCTTTTGAATTGCTAATACACATTAACTGTGTGCTGTTGTTGCACTGTGAATTTTAAATGTGAAAATGTGTCAGTAATTCTTCACTAAATGTACAATACAGATTCATAATGTCAAAAGATTAACAGACAATACAGTTGACAAGTTGAACATGCTTGCACATTTGTATGTGAGGCAGGCCGAGACTGTCTATGTCCTGGTCTAGGTTTGGACGTGAAGCTCAGCTGTGAAATTCCTGACTGCAGTGAGAGGGCGTCTAGGGCAGGGTACGGAAATACTGTGAAATGAATGGAAATTCTGTGGAGGAAAGATCCATAGTACAAAGACAAAAGGTTTGTTTCAAATTAGGATTGAAACCATTGGTATGTGAAAGTGTTTGCTTTTCACATTTGCATCCTTTTACACCCATTTTTTAAAGCTCACCAAACAATTTTAATCATATAATTAATATCTCCACTTACAATTATGTCTCCACTTGTCACTGATTTCGTATAGGCCTAGTCAACATAACCCTAACAAAAAATAAGTGATACTTCAAGTTCAGAGCCTTTTTATTAAGCATCCTTGTGTAAAGTTCAAGTATTTAAAGTATTTCTTTATGTTACAAGTATACTAATAGCAATAGTGTTCTGTTTCAATAATTGTGTTTAAATTGGCCCACTTTTTAGTGTGTGAAAGTATATATTTTAAATATACTTTAAGTGTAACAGTAGTAAACTTTGTTTACACCAAGTTTTTTGTTTACACTCACTGTAAAAAAATATTGATGGTTTAACTTAAAAAAAGTAAGTAACCTGGTTGCCTTAAAATTTTAAGTTCATTGAACTGGAAAAAGTGAGTTACTACAATGAAGGAGATTAATTTAACCATCAGAAACTCAAAATTATATGCTATCTGAACTAAATAAATTATTTAAGTTGATTTGACAAAAGAAAAAATGTTGTGATTACTACACTGTAAAAAAATATTGTTGGTTTAACTTAAAAAAGTAAGTAACCTGGTTGCCTTAAAATTTTAAGTTGATTGAACTGGAAAAAGTGAGTTAATACAATTAAGTAGATTAATTTAACCATCAGAAACTCAAAATAATAAGTTATCTCAACTAAATAAATTATTATAAAGTTGATTTGAAGAATATTTTTTAACAGTGCTGCAGCTATACTATAAGTGATAATTCTATGCATCACACATTTTTTTTCAGTTAATTAAAGTTTCATACAGCAGGAATAATTTTTTCTTTAAGTGAACCTAACATCGTAATACTTTACTATATATTACCACTGCGCTAAGTTCCTATTTTTATACATGAAATATACCATTAACTGCACTAAAAGTAGACTTGAAGTAAATTCCTATATAACAGTGGACTACTCAAAACAAAAATTATTACAAAAATAGTCAAAATCAGGAACATATCTGTTTTTTATATAAATTAATATTTTTAAACAAATCTATTGTATTGGATGCCAAAACATGTAAGTTTATGTAGGCTACTCATTCAAAATAGTAAACACAGCTACACACCAAGTATATAATCAGAAGTTATAACCAACATTTTTTTTTGTCATTGCCAGGTGGATTTTTAAATCTAAAATCACTCTATTTTATGGAGTAAGAAAGTCATGTCGAAGGGTATTGATCACTGACGAGAGTGTGTGTGTGTGTGTGAGAAAGAGGAGTATGACAATGTCTTGATCTTCCCTCTCACTGAGTCAAACTATAGCATTATGCAACCATCCATACTCTCAAAAAATAAAAATATCTAGCCTAAATGTAAAATTCATGTATTTGAATTACAAATAAAATGTCCATCCATTGATGCATATTTGTCAGTCATTTACTGTACATAAATGAAACAGGTAAGATTACGGGTATTTAATTTTATATAAAAGGGGATCTGTTATGCAAAATTCACTTTTACATGCTGTTTGAACATAAATGTTTATCTCCTCACCAGAGCATTTAACAACATTCAAGTAAGAAATGTATTTTTTTAAAGCTACAAAAGTTAAGAACAATGAGTGTATCAGTTTTTCTTTTTGTTGTTTGATTCATATTAAATCTACTATATGTAAGTATTTACAATGTTTTATTTATAAATGATCTATGTAATAAATTACATTTCTATAAGCACTTAAATTAATTATTCCGTTAAAATGTGTTATATTTGTGCTGTAAAACTATTTACATATTTTTAATAGTGATTTTAAGCTCAACAAGTTTATGGTGTTCAATTGTTATGGCAACAGACCTGTAAAATTGAACTCAACTTTACACAGGTAAAGTTATTAAGTGGTTTTCAAACTAAATTCGTGTTAATACGAATATTGTGGACATCATGTGGCTTTTCTATTGAAACACTGTATATTTTAATACGGATAAGCCCCATCCACTTTTATTGTAAGAGCCTCATATGCAATCCAACTTTTGCTATTTTTAAGAAACATGTTAAAATTATTGATTGAAATTGATTAAGCTTACCTTGTAAAGTCACCATGAAATCAAAATCTTATTTTTTTATGGAATATCAACACACACACACACACACATACAAAAAAAAAACTTTTTGCAAATGATTTATCTGTGCATATCATTGTTTTTTTTTTATTCATGTGCCCTGATAATATTTAATCAAAATAACATGTGACACATGACATCACAGCAATAGCAAAACCACAACATCCAATCAATTCCCCATGGACAATTAATTAATTATATATATATATATATATATATTACGAGAAGCCATTTCACTTGGATATACTTAACAATAAGAAAAGACTATTGCAACTTCCGTTTCACCTGACTTTAGTACTAGCCTATTTAAAGATGTAAAATAAAACTCTGATGTCCCCAGAGTGTGTATGTAAAGCTTTAGCACAAAATACCCCACAGACATAGACGTCATTTACGGGGGGGGGACGGGTGGGACATGTCCCCATCACTTTTTGCCAGGGTTGATATTGTCCCCACCACTTTTGAAACATCTCGCGGCACGGATGTACCAATACAAATAAAACATCTCCAGTTAACTTGCAGCATTCGTTTGTTAAATAAGAGGCGATCTAGCGCTGAAATGTGTTGTCTTCACTCGGACGCGCGCTGCAATCCGTTGTGGAGGTTTCATTCGTTCCGGTGAAATCACAAATCAAAATACACACAAACATGTCCCTGCTTCTCTGGGTTCTAATCCGCACTCGTACAGTTATTTTTTTATCCTCATCAAAACCAAGAATGTTTTTCAGTGGTTGTATATCAATATACATACGGTTTTGATGAGGGGGAAAAAAACTATACGAGTGCGGATTAGAACCCAGAACCTCCGACACACTTGGCAAAAATTCTGCCACTCTGCCATTCTGCCAAAAATTCTGTGTATTTGTTCACGTTAAAATTCACCATACTAACAACATATATTAGATCTCATATACGACCAATTAAACCCAAAGTACCATAACATTTTTGGTCTGACATCACATCTTTTTTATTTACATCAGTAAGCTACAGGAAATCGTCTTTGAAAACATGACCTTCGCGAAAGAGAAAAAAGAATGAATGCGTCATTGTACCCAGCACTTTTGAAATTGCCCTTCCGAATGCGCCTTTGTCCCCAGCACATTTCAAACCAAACTGACGCCCATGCCCACAGATATTTATATAGAATATTAAAGTTGTCACTTTTGAAGGTTTGCAAAATCGCACCGTTTTGTACCTGGCCCTTTAAATGCAAATGAGCTGCTGCAGAGGGCGGGGTTCCAAGAGCTTGTGTGTGTTAGCAGCTGCGATTTCCTCACAAAGACACACTAAAATGACAGAAACTGTTCTCCCTTCAAAGTTAAAACGGAGTCAATCAAAGATGGAGAGACTCACGAAGAAGTGACAACATGTAGAATGCAACAGGATGTCTCTGAATGGTTAGTTGATGAATTTATGTTGCTGATGTGGAGTTAACTATCTTCAATTAGGATATTCTGTAATGGTAATCTATAAATCGCTCATACAGGAACTGTTGTGAGATACACACAGAGTGACTTTCTATTGCATGTGAAAATATGGATGCTAAAGTTTGAGCTGACTCACAAATGTACTCTTATACAACCACGCTTCCTCTCCTCAACATGGATTGCGTGTTCCCGGGGGCGGGGCTTATGTACATTTTAGGGTTGGTGACGTCACTAACCCTTGAGGAATGTCGTGTAGTCCTACTAGCCGTTGTTGTAGTCCTTTTCTTTAAAAGCAAATATCTTCCTTTGCTTTGAACTTTGAGCGTTGTAACATTGATAATGTTGTTTATGCTCAAAAAGCAAGATTACACACTAACTTAAGTTAGAAAAGTGAAATCATACTTTACCACCCGTTTAATACTTAACAGTTTCTAATAACATTAAGTACCACTAATCAGGCTATCCACACAGAAGACCATCAAAGCACCGTTTCCAGTTCTTTCCAAGTCTCCGGACCAGAATGCTCCTCATCTGCTTCAAAACATGGCTCACAATCATGCTCGCTTTCCTCTGCATTCCTGCCGGTCTGCTTGGACTGAGGCCCTTTCCCATCAGTCTGCCTCAGAACCAGCTCCTGCTGTGCTGTAAAATACACAGTCTCCATGTCATGAGGCGTGTAACTAGGTAGGTTTCCTAAATGGTGGAGACGCGATTGTCCTTTGCCCCCCATGGCTCCCAGCGGCAGGCCTTTGGTACCACTGACACTGAGACACACGCTCTGTGTGGTGGTGTGTGACATCATGCCTCCATAGTAGCCACTTCCACATCCCGCACTGCTGTTGACACGAGCCTTCTGCTTCAGGTCTAACGCAAGACTGCGCCTCAGCCATGCCTTCTTCACCTCTGCCTGCACCTGTTCATGATGGCATTATAGAGGAGATAGTGAAGAAACACGAAGACATGAAGAGAAAATAAATGGGCTTAGAGACTGTTTGCAAATAGACTCTGACACACAGAAATTTAAAAGGCACTGTGTGTAATAATTTCTAAAATGATAAAGTACCCCGTATGCGTATTATAGCTGTTATAAGTACTTCCAGTCTTACTTCCTGCAAAAACCTGTGTAAGTTTGTAACACATGTGCATAATGCCTGCCTATGGTCTTCATTGGCTGCCCAAGAACAATATCTAATTTGATTTGTCCTCAAATATTGTAGTTGTAGCTGAGGCCTGGAAGAGTCTGTCGAGAACTGTCGAGAAAATTGTTATCGTTATTGTTCTTATCACTGTGTATCAACTCAAGTGCAGAGGAAGTCAGGAAATTCAGATCCAATAATGGACATTTTGTTTCCGACATGCACTGTAAGCGCTAGACCAATCAAAATGAACTGGGCCATCTGACCAATCAGAGCAGAGTAGGCTCTCGGAAAGGCGGAGTTTAGAGAGACCAGATCCTTTATCAAACCATTTCAGACACTGTGAGAAAAGATGTGATGCTAAAATGTACATTATGAGATTAAAAATGTTAAAGTGTTTTACAGTTTTTAAAAATTGCTTACACACAATTTCTGAAACTATGGCTCCATTTCTTGAAACTCTTACAAAACATGTTGCAAAACATCAGACATCTCTTGCTAAATCAAACACTTAATTCAAAACTATTTTAACTATTCCAAAAATTGTGTTTTCGAGTAGTAACTCTAGACACAAACATCAAATGAATAGCCGCATACACACCATACTACACACAGATGTGAAAAATGTCTTTTGCTTGTTCTGTGTGCAGGGGAGAGTGCAGTACACGAGTTTGTGACATGTACATGTATGTGCACAAAAACACTGCATGAACAGTATGTATAGACAATTGAGGAATACAGTTACAGTTGAATTGAACTGAACTGAATCAACACTGAAGTGAATTGAGCTGAATTTTGAGACTATTGGCTTGTTAGAGCTGCTGTACAGCAGAACTTGTTTTGAATTGGTTACTATTGTGAAGCTGATTATAATTCCTAAATTAGATGCACCTGTTTGAGGTCATTAGCTGCACAAAGACACCTGTCCACCCCTTGCAATCAGCAAGAATCCAACTACTAACATGGCCAAGACCAGAGAGCTGTCCAAAGACACCAGAGACAAAATTGTATACCTCCACAAGGCTGGAAAGGGTTACTGGAAATTGCCAAGCAGCTTGGTAAAAAAAGATCCAGTGTTGGAGCAATCATTAGAAAATGGAAGAAGCTAAACATGACTGTGGAGCAGTTCAGAGTCATCTCGGTCCTCAGTGTTGAGGGCAAAATTTTCTTTAGTACTTGACGTAGTTCCTTCTGAGGAACAAGTATATCGATACCTCGGTGCAGAAGGGGGGAGTTCCATGATGCCAGGATGCGTCAAGCATACAGGAGTTGTCACTCAGCCCTTACGTGAGGCACATGAAGGCAAAGGGGATCTGGCAGTCCTCTGGCTCGACCTCGCCAATGCCTACGGGTCAATCCCTCATAGGCTAGTAGAAGCCTCACTTGACCGACACCATGTTCCAGACAAGATTAAGCACCTCATACTGGATTACTACAATTCCTTTTGTCTGAGAGTGACCTCTGGAGTGGAAACATCTGCATTTCATCGGCCTGAGAAGGGCATTATCACGGGATGTACTATTTCCGAGATATTGCTTGAAGGTTACAGACCAGTTCCGCTTCTCACTAGGAGACATCCAGATACCATCTGTCGTAGAAAATCCAGTCAAGAGTCTGGGTAAGATCTACGACTGCACCCTGAAGGACACCGCAGCACTCCAGACAACCACCAACCAGTTGGTAATCTGGTGGCTGTGGACAAGTCAGGTCTGCCAGGTAAATTTAAAGCCTGGATCTAGCAGCACGGCATCCTGTCCCAACTGCTCTGGCCACTGCTGGTCTATGATGTGCCAATTACCATCATTGAGGCATTGAGAGGAAAGTCAGCTGTTCCTTGCGGAAGTGGGTAGGCCTACTACAAAGTCTCAGTGACATCGCCTTGTACGGGAGGAAGAACAAGCTAAAATTGCCCTTTAGCAGTCTGAAGGAAGAGTTTATGGTAACCCTTTCAAGAGAGGTGCTACTGTATAGAGATTCCAGTTACATCAAGATCTCTTCGGCAGGCATTAAGGGCAGAAGTGGCAGGAAGTGGAAGGCCCAAGAGGCAGTAGATCAGGCCGAGTCACGGCTGTGAAATAGTGAGCTGGTGGGGGTGGTGGCATCTGGATGGGCAGGACTTGGGAGCAATCCAAAACCTCGCTTTAACAAGGCCCAGGGGAATGAAAGGAGGCAGCTGATTCAAGAGGAGGTCCGAGCTGGGGTGGAAGAAGTCCGCTGCAGCAGGTCAGTAGGGATGAGGCAGCAGGGAGCATGGACTCAATGGGAGCAGGCAGCAGACCGGAAAATATTGTGGAAAGAATTGTGGAAGTCTGAGCCACACCGGATTAAATTCCTGGTTCAGTCCGTCTATGATGTCCTCCCCAGTCCATCCAATCTCTTCCACTGGGGCCTGGCAGAGACACCACTGTGCCCACTCTGCTAGAGAGGAGGTTCACTGGAGCACATCTTGAGCTGCTGCTCAAAAGCACTGGAAGAGGGACGCTACCGTTGGCGTCATGGCCAAGTACTGTGGGTCATTGAGCACTGGGATAGCCTGCAGTAGACACCAGCAACCAGCAAGACAGAACATCGCCTTTGTTAAAGCTGGGTAGAAGCCACACCAGCACCTGAAGCAATCAGCACAGGACTGGCAGCTGAAGGTCAACCTTGGGAAACAGCTTAAATTCCCAGAAAACATTGCAGTGACCACACTCAGGCCAGACATTGTCCTGGTGTCAGAAAAAAAAACAGGCAAGTGGTCCTGCTGGAGTTCACTGTTCCCTGGGAGGACCGGATGGAGGTGGCTTTTGAGAGGAAGAGGGCCAAGTAAGTGGAGCTGGTAGGAAAATCCCGAAGCAGGGGGTGGAGGACCCGATGTAATCCCATCGAGGTCGGGTGCAGAGGATTCGTCGGACATTCACTGATTAGGGCCCTCAAGATGCTAGGAGTGGAGGGACTGCACATCAGGAAATCCGTCAAGAACATCACGGACGCTGCCGAAAAGGCATCAAGATTGCGATGGATCAAGCGGGGCAATCCGTGGATCATACAAGCTACTCAGACACAAACCAGGGTCTGATTAACCCTGGCTGGGTCGCCTGGGCGAGGGTGTATGATGTTGTGAGACCCGAAACACCCAATGAACCCAGGATACATCACTGATGATGTGTCTGACTTTGCACCAGAGGTGTATTTCAAGAACTGTCATGCTTTAAGGATGTACACTTTTTGAAGTGTAGGTTAACATGTTAAAGTACTTACAATGATTACAATTATAACTTTAGTGTTATTTAAAGTTGATATATTTTAAATGTACTACATTGCAAATTTCTCCAGTATAAGCTCTCCAAAGATAGACAATTCCATATAGTATAAATTTGAACAAAACAAAACTCAAAAACTCACCTCCCCATTGCAGAAGCAGTAAATAAAGGCCACAAAGAAACCCTGAGGAAATAAAATTCATCATGAAGGAAAAGCAAAACATTTTTTTTAATGGCAGCAACAAAACGGTCTTGTAACCGATGATGTTTCATGTGTCCTAACCACAAGCAATACGAAAAGTTCCAGCAACAAGTCATTTGTCTTTTCACTCTTAAAGCAGAAGAGTGGAAAGACATGAGATCATCTCAAACAATCAACATATTAATCTACAGCTGTTTTGGAGGGGCTACTAGTTAAAACCACACACGGCCACCAATTTTGCTGTAAATTAACCCTAACAAGTAGCCATTCCCACTCAACTGCAGTGCCCATAGTATGTGAGCTGCACCGTTTCCACTCCTATCGGAAGGTGTTTTCTCTCTCTCTCTCTCTCTCTCTCTCTTGCATCTTTATAGCATCGCTAATGAACTCTATAAACTCAAATCGGCAACTGTCATTGAAATTTAATAACTTCTGGTAGCTGAAAGTATAAATAATTGTCACTATAAACATACTGTAACCACAGACTTTTCTCTTTTTGGTAATTTAATCCAAATGTAATTGTCTTAACATGCTCTTTATTTTACATTATAATAAAGGGTCAGATAAGACAAGGATTTTTGTTTTTTTTTTGGAAAAAAAAACAAAACTGGCATGTACCTGTGAGGAGTTGAAGAGCATCTCATAATGCATCTGAATCTGCCACAGTAGACCTGTGACGTCAGTGTATGGTAGAGCCATGAACAGCATGTAATGAACTCCAAACAGCGGCATCAGCACCAGGGTCGACTTCAGCAGCTTCCTACAGGCCACAGAAAACCAATCACTACAGTTGTGTGTGTGTGTGTGTGTGTGTGTGTGGTAATCAGAGGCGGACAGAGTACACAGCTTCATTACTTGAGTAAAAGTACAGATACCCCTTGCTAAATTTGAGTCAAGTACAAGCAGAAGTACTACAGTCAGATGTCTACTTAAGTAAAAGTACTGAAGTACTTGTTAAAGTACAAGAGTACAAGAATAGATTTTCTAAAAATTGCATTACTACTGCCACAGTGCTCACATATAAGTACAGAAACGTCCTACATTGAGTTTTGAAAAATGTTAATTTCTCACGGTTATGGACAGAAATGTAGCCGAGTAAAGAATACAATATTTGCCTTTCAAATGTACTTGAGTAAAGTCATGAGCACTCCCCAAAAATGATACTCATACAGATCCCTCAAAATTTTACTTAAGTACTGTACTCAAGTAAATGCACTCCGTTACTGTCCGGCTCTGGTAGTAATTTATAACCTGTACTGCTGTCTTGGATCCAGTTTTCCTGTATTTGTTTCCCACAACTTAGAGGCCAAAACCCTGATGATATTGAGGAAGAGGAAGAAGTTTACCTAGATGAAGAGTTATGAGGAACATAAGTGACTTTTCAGTATAGGGTATTCACTGATAAAAATAATAATATTTTACATGCATGTTTAAGAGTTTAGATGTGTATGTAAAATACGAATGAAAAAATGTTTTGTATTTCATAATATACAGAGTTTTGCAGATCACATTTGTATATTTAAATTATTACGGTAGTATAATTTATGGGAGAAGAACAATCTTACAACAATGGATGCCAGGATTGGTACTTGATAGATCCATTTCAGGTTGCCTGCGCTTATATCCCAGCACCTAGAGATGCAGAAATACAACCTTCAATGCATCAGAAAGCATTCACAATCATATATTATTTTCCATATTACAGTAATGCTGTCTCTTGTGACGATTTGCAGAATCTGCTCTGGCTGTGTGCCATTCATGTGTTTTGGATGAGGCGTGGCTTGGAGACGCTCTGAAGGGAGGGTGGGATCTTATGCCTTATGTCATAATTAAAAGGATAGTTCACTTTGAAATTAATTTTTGATATGTTTTAGCTTACCTCAAGGGCATCCAAGATGTTGGTGTCTTTGTTTCCACAGTATTTTCAATTTTGACATTTTTCGGTCAAACCGTTGTTGTCTGCCAGTCATATAATGCAGGTATGGGGGTACACGGCAAAGAGCATGCTCAGAGAAGTCAAAATTAAACATGATTTAATGACTTGTAAGTTCACATCGATGGCCTAAGACACGAAACGAGCGGTTTGTGTGAGAAAACGAACAGTATTTATATCGTTTTTACCTCATGTAACCCCAGCCACGTCCAACTGATCTGAATCAGTGGTTCAATGTCCAACTAAATGCGCATTGCGCAATGAGATTGGATGCGCATCGACGTCATTCATTATTTACACAGAGATTTCGGAAGTTTTACATTTCACTAAACATATGTAGATATACCGAAATCGTCTTCCGTTGTGATTTCATATATGTTTTGATCTTCACATTGAAAGGTAAAACTTCCGAAATCTCTGTGTAAACAAAGAGTGACGTCGTCGCGCAAGAGATCACTTATGGCGGAACGTTGGACATGGTTCAGTTGCACAACTGATTCAGATCACTTGGACCTGACTGTGTTACACGAGGTAAAAACGATATAAATACTGTTCGTTTTCTCACACAAACCTCTTGTTTTGTGTCTTAGGCCATCAATGTGTACTTACATTTACGAGTCATTAAATAATGTTTAATTTGGACTTCTCTGTGCATACTCTTTGACGTGGACGCCCATACCTGCATTATGTGAATTATAGACAACAACGGTTTGACCAAAAAAATTTAAAATTGGAAATACTGTGGAAACAAAGACACCTATCTTGGACGCCCTTGAGGTAAGCTAAAACATATCAAAAATTAATTTCAAAGTGAACTATCCCTTTAAATAAATAAATCATTTAGTGATAGTCATATTTTGTTCACAAGATTCATTTTTGGATTTGGTTTTGTTGCCTGGACTTTGAATAAAGGGAGAGGAACCCCTCAGGTTTCATCAAAAATATCTCAATTAATTTTGGTTTTGTAGATTAAACAAAGTCGCTTTGAAATGACATGAAGATGAGCACAGTACCCTAATCCTAACTATCCCTTTACAAAAACATGAACTTAATTGTTCGCACCATAAACCATAAACCTTGACTTCACACATTCAGCCAGAGACTATTTTTAGAAAGGCCAACATCATGCCTGGAATTTGTTAAATACCATGCGACAAAACCTAGACCTTTTGGAAGAAAATCTTGTGGTCTGATGAGCCCTATTTGGCCAAAAAGCGAAGTGCTATGTTTGCCCCAAGCCAAACAAAGCTCAACATCCAGGTGACATCCACCCATCCATTTTCCAAACCGCTTGTCCTACTGTATGCAGGGTCATGGGGATGCTGGAGCCCATCCAAGCATCTCAGGCTGAAGTCAGGGAACATGTGATCATGGGGAATTTTTTCCAAGGTGTTAACGGTGTTACCAGAAACCTTATGCAAAAACAAATGCACAAAAAAACCTACTGTGTGTCTGCCAGAGATGCTCGGGCACTGACCCATATGGACACAAACACTGCGGGTATCCCTATGAAAAAGAAAACAAATTCACCCTCAAGATCACAACAGATTGCTTGGAAAATTTTATCATCAATTGCAATCTTCACAGCAAAAGAGACAACTCACCCCAGCCTATGATTGTTAAAGCCCACAGACAGTTCTTATCAGACAGGAAGGCCATGAAGATCAGACTATGCAAGTACAGACCCTCAACCAGGATCCAATAATGATTGGTTGCCAAGAGATACAGGAAGAGGGTCACAGCAATCTTGCAGCCCACCTGATAAACACACAGACCAATAAAACGGATGTCGGGCTTTGAAGCATTAATTATGTATTCGTGTGCAAATGGTTTGTGAGTACCATAGGTCTTTGTCCAACTGCCCCATCCTCTAGTTTGCCGTCATCTGTGACGGTGTAAAGAACGGCGTCTTTCACAAATATACTGATTGCTCTGCATATGAATGAAGTGAAGAGGTGGATGTGGATGTAGTTCCGGGTGCAATGGAGACGTCTGGAGAAAAAAAAGAAACATAGAAAAAGAAAAGAAACTTGACTTTGGATCAGTGCTGGAAATTGGTTCATTTCAGTGTCTCACAAATCACATTACAATGCATCCGGGTTGCATACAGTACATACTACACTTACTACAGTATATAGAGCATATTTAATGGTTGCAAAGTCAAATCTACACTATTTTGTGATTTCTGAAGCATCTAGTGTCTTTTTGTGTTCTGAGTAACTGTGTAATTTACGCATTCAACGATTCATTAAAAACACTTTAAATGAAAATGTGTTAACACTTTACTTGAAGGGGTGCACACATACATAATCATGACATGACATATGTCTTGAAAATGAAGGAAGTTTTATGCATGCAAGTGTCATTCGCTCAGTTATGACATTTTAATGCAAATATGACATTGTTTAAGATGTCATTATGGTGGTTGGTTTTGACATTGGCTGTCATGAAGTCATTATAACATTTTAATGACAAATTAAATGTGTACCACTGTAGTTGAGGTCACAAAAAATATTCATGACACGTTATAATGGCCTCATAACAGCCAATGTCAAAGCCAACCACATGACAGTTTAACTTATTTTATGTCAATTAAAGACTTAAACAATGTCATATTTGTATTCAAAATGTCATAACTGAGCGAATGACACTTAATGACAGTTGTCATAAACATGCATAAACCCTACTTCATATTCATGACATGGTTATGCCAGTTTTATGCACAGCCCTTCAAGTAAAGTGTTACTAAAAGGTCAATATTTTATTCAAATTTGTGACTACAAATGTATTATAGAGTATTTAAGCATCATAAACTATAGAAATAAGACAAATGCACAAATTAAATGCCTTCGACATGTCCCAATTCATTCATTTTGTTGACAAACAAATGTAGGCTCGTTCAGACCCAAAACACTGCTTCAGTCTGTGAAGGGTAGTTCCATCTCTAAGTGATGGGTTCCTTCATTTCTTTAAAAGGGAAAGACTTTAGTTGAGTGATTGACATTGATTTGGTTACTTAAAAAATCAATTCACAAATGTTGCTCCTGTACCAAGAACATGGATCCAAGAAGCGGGCTCAATTTTATTGAATGTGCACTTAGAGTGTACTTCAAGGTATATTTTTTCAGCCCATTCTCATCCCAAGGCGTCATCTAACTGACGTCTTGGGAAGCATTAGGCTTGTTTGAGATGCGCCTCGCCTCGCCTGAAATGTAGTCGATAGTAGGCGGCTGCAGTGAGAGGAGGAGTGAAAAAAGCGCAGTCAAGCCGGACAAATCTCGGTTCTCGCAGTGGATCAGACTCCTGTGAGATCAAAGTCTGATAACGCGGGATTCACGGGATTCACGCTCGTGCGCGTGTTGCTAATAAACTGGATGTGATTTAAGTTCTGTTGCTTTTATATAAAAATAAATATAATGAACAAGACACCCAAAGCACTTGTTATTTAATTACATTCCAAATATGTGTTTATCAATCATTTTTTTCTTTAATACAGACGAGTTTTATATATATATATATGACATCACACAATAACCCATATGGCACTGTCAGAGAGTTTATTCGCCCATATGTATACACATAAAACATGATATCAATTTTTTTTTATACATCACGGTTGTTTAAACCAATGAGCATTAAGCTGTGTCGTCAGCAAGTTGTTTGCCATCGTGCTTCTGATCAGTGCAGTCGGTGGAGAGCAACTGCGCACGACTGCAGAATCCTCGCGAGAGTTTTTTGACATACGTCGGCATGACATCAGAGCAAGGCGGTGCGCTCTCGGACACATTTCTAACCGGCATGCATCTGATCACTCGTGATCGGTTCTGCGCAGATTTTGCTCATCTCAAACAAGCCTATTTTATCCGACGCTTTAGCGTCAGTTAGATTATGCTTCCCTAGTGTGGTCTAACCCTAAAAACCTACCCGCATCATCCGACTGATGCTAAAGGTGAAGCGTCAGTTCACACGGGACTATTTTAAAATTGTCGGCCGATTTTCCAAACCTGAGAGACCCCACACACACGACGATAAAAAATCACGGGTCTAACAGTGTGTGGTGCGCTGCCACACGGCAAAATCAACACATCGCACACGAACCGATTTGACTCCCGAGCATTCCCAGGTGAGACGGAAAATCTCGCAAAATCCCTCGAGATCAAACGTCACTTCAGAGTAAACAATCATGACGGACGAAGAGGATGCAGTGGGGATAGTGTGTAGTTTGTTTTTAACAACACTTTCTGGTACGCCATACCGCCGGCTGTTTTGATTTTGTTTCCCACCGGTGCTTCCTCTGCGACATAGCTCTGCTCTGCGCCTCGTCACTTCGCTTTCTGATTGGCTACACGCCACAGTTCACAGGCTGCGTGCTCGTTCGTCCCTGGGGGACACCTATAGACTGTAAAAAATATGGACAAAGCGTCTGTGACGTAATCCATAGACTTTCTGAGGAACGGGTTTGAGGCTGTTTATGGGGGGTATGGGCAGCATCATACTGGAAAATCTTGGGAAATACAAAATACAAATGTTCATAAAGGATACAGAGGTGGTGATGTGTTGTATCAGATCATGGTCGAGACATCAAATTCACTCGGCGCAGCCTATTAGCAGCTGTCAATCAAAGTTAACCCAAAGTTAAGCCCTTATTTGTCAAACATTTTATACTGTATCTAAATACGATCTAAACTAACGAGTTAGAAAAAATTACAGTTGTCAGGCATGTGGAACATATTGAAGATTACAATAAAAGTCCATGGGAGCAAACTGTAAAAACATGAATTTATGCTGTGAATTTATGCTATGGACATTTGCTCCCTTTTGGGACCGGCCTCTAGCGGATTTTCGATGTATTGCAGTTTTTCGCACTTCCGGGTAGGCTTCATCTTTCAGATTAGAATGTTGCTGCTTGGGGACACCCACACGAGGAGAAATCGGGCCAAAAAAATCCAACATGTTGGATATCCCCGATTTGAGATCGGAGCCGTCCCCGCATCCTTCCGAGCAGACGAGAGCAGTCTTAACACACCACACACGGCAGGAATATCTGATCAGATTATTTTACGATAATCGGAGCATCCTTAAAGCTACACTGTGTGATTTTTACCCCCATCTAGCGGGGAAAAGTTATATGAGCATCCAGTGAATATTAGTTTCTGTTCCTCTCAATTCCAATTTCGTTTTAACTCCTACGGTGGTCAATGTAGTCCAAGATTAACATGGCTTCCGGTTCGACCTCGTCCATGAGTGTTAACTCAAATGTAAACGCGAAAGGCGAAGCTTGAATTAACGAGTATGTCCCTCTTTGGCTAATGCACATTCAAGATGGAGGGGCAACATGGCGACCGACATTAGAACCCCTTACCCGCATGTATTTTCAATGGCATATTATACACGAGAATACTTTAGTACTTGAACGAAGTAAATATACATTAATGAGCACATATATTTTTGAAAGAACTAAGTGTTTTAGCTAAGAATAAACTAAAAGAGTTACACAGTGTAGCTTTAAGATTGTCGGAAGGGGTGAATCGGGGCTAAAATCGGCCTAATAATCCTGCCGTGTGAACCAAGCTTAACTGACGCTAATAACACAGTCTCATCCCAAGACGTCATATAGCTGACGTCTTGGGACGTCTTTTGACCATACGTCAACATCCGATGTTTTAGGGTACCCTTTAACGTCAGTTACATGACAATCCTGGGACGTCATACAACTGATGCTTTACCTTTAACGTCAGTTATGTGACGGGGTAAAGGTTTAGGTCTGGGGTAAGGTTAGGATCCGATAACGTCATCTAACCGACGTTAAAGGGTACCCTAAAACAGCGGATGTTGACGTATGGTCAAAAGGCGTCCCAAGACGTCAGTTATATGACGTCTTGGGATGAGACTGCGCTGATGCTAAAGGGTGCCTAAACCGTCAGATATTGAAGCATGGTCAAAATTGTCAGTTAGATGACGCCTTGGAATGAGAATGCGTTGATTTTTTTATCAACATATTTTGCACTCTTTAAACTCTTTAAAGTATATTATTTACTTAATAAGTACTAGTACAGTAAAGTGCATACTTCTTTTTCACAAGGGTTCAGCGTGAGTAAACTGCAAAAGACTATTCTATTCTATTCTAATCTATTCCCTACTCTCTTATTCAGAGAGCAGAGAACCTGTCTGATCAGATCAGATCTCTCAGTGACGTACACATCACATGGATGTAGATAGGCATCAATGCATCACACACTCTTGAACATGAATCAGGAACTGGGGACATCAAGAATCCAGATGGATTAGATTTGTGTGCAGTGTTTACCGTCTTGGATGTATATCAATTGCTAATCTTTTATTTAAAAACATGAAATTTGCCTTGTTGAAATGTTCATTTTGCACTTACTTGAAATAGCAGAGGATAAAGACAGCCACCAGTAACGCTGCCAGTGATATGGAGTATCCAACAGTGTACATGAGGTAAAGACGCTCAAATACTTCCTAAATAAACACAGCAAAATAGTACACAATAGTATAGAATGATGTACATGTTAATGTCTATACATTTCAATTTCATTTAGAGATTGATACATAAATAAATACTCTATCACTAAATACATTTTCTACATGTTTACTCTGGATGTTTCTCCATGATTGCTACTGTAGGTTACTGACCCATGTCAAATAAATCCATATGAAAGTCACTATGATATTCTTGTTTATACATGGTTCAGGTGTCTCCTTCAATTTAATATATTGATTTTTTTTCTTTTTCAATATATATTATATTGATTTGTTAGTTTGCCTGGAGATAAAAGTCTAATCGTTCAGAAAATTGCTGTCAATCATTCTGAAGTTTAATACTTACATACAGTATATGGATTTGTTCAGTTAAGCAACAGTTAATGCATGGCACCAAGATTATGGATTATAGCTGCCTACGAGTAATTAAAAAACAACTGCACACACCTCCTGATTGCTGTGGTTCGAGTGCAGGTAAGTGGTGCATTCTGTGTAGTTGGCCCATGTCCGGTTTATAGTGGACACCTGCTCCCAGTAACCTGATGCATCACAGTGGCGATATGCATGTCCTGAAATGCACGTAAAACCGACATGTTTAATTCTTGTAGACTTAATTTATGTACTATTTATATAGTCTATGTATTTACCTAATTCAGTATATAAATAGGCACACCAAAAAGTATCAGCCTTTTGAGATCATTTCTTCATAGCTGTTTTGTGTACTCTTACAAATAAAAAAATTTGAATCTAAAAATAAAAGAGTGGCCATACCTTCAACCTACTTTTGATGTATCATACTGTATATGAAGAGTTCAGATGCAAAAGCCTTTAAATGCCATTTGAAATTTTCTTCTAAAATGACCATTTTTATCAAGCTTGTATATTTAAGTTCAGTAATTTCACTTAAATGACAATTAATAGGTAATCTTCATTGCCATTTAAGTGAAATTACTGAACTTAAATATACAAGCTTGATAAAAATGATCATTTTAGAAGAAAATTTCAAATGGCACTTAGAGGCTTTTGCATCTGAACTCTTCATATATACTTAATGAATTTATATGAAAGTGTACTGTAAAAGTCTATTAATATTTGGTGGGTATTTCATTTTTGAGTGTAAAATTAAGTATTCTAAGTATTAGCGGCTTGAATCTGTGCTTATTCTTTTAGTAGTATAGCATATTAAATGCTTTTCTTTTTTACACATTCTTTGAGGAAGAACTATCTGATCAACTTACATGTTCAAGTTTACAGCGAACTTACTTTAAGTCTACTTGGAGTACAGGTAAAGGATTATTTCAAGTATTAAAAAAATATCTAAACCAAGTAGTATACTTAAAGTGCAAAAACTATTTACATCGACGCATGCGCGAGAATTGCGATCTGCTTACACCAGCTTACACTACTTCAGATCGCAATTCTCGCGCATGCGTCGTTGAAATCTAAGGAAATCTCGTTTCTGGCCTACAAGGAAGAAAAGAAATAGTCGAATAAACTCGTTATTTTTGTTTGTTTTTTCGCACAAAAAGTATTTGCGTCGCTTGATAAACTTATAGTTGAGCCACGGTAGTCACTTGGGATATTTAAACATTTTCTTCATTGACTTTCTGGGCCGTCAAGAGGCAGTCCCTTAGGAGCCAATGTGGTAGTTATACAGCTCTCAAATTTAATCAAAAATATCTTCATTTGTGTTCCGAAGACGAACGAAGGTCTTACGGGGTTGGTACAGCATGGGGGTGAGTAATTAATGACTTCATTTTCATTTTTGGGTGAACTAACCCTTTAAATTACGAAAGTACAAAGAAATGATTTCAATGTTTTCACTTTATACAAATACTTTAGCTTACTGCAGCCTACTGTTGCATGCGCACGCTCGCTGTTTATCCAGCACCGGCTTTGGAATCAACAATGGCCATAGACAATTTGAGGAAGTGATGTATGCCATAAAGCAGTCGAATTTTTGTTCTTTTTGTGCTCGGGTTCCTACTCGAAACCCAAAGTTACATAGTGCAAGTAAAAGTGATACAGACACTGTCAGGCTAAAGTAGACGTGTCATTCAACCTATATTGTAAGTCGATGTACTATCACAAGGGTCTTGAAATATATATTATGAAGGTTGAAAAAATACATAGCGTTACTTTAATTGTATTTTGTAAAAATTAACAAATTTAAATTGTAATGGCTCACTCCAAAAAAGCTAGAAAAGAGGCTATATAAAAGTGAAGAGCTTATCGAATATCCCAGTTGAACCTTTTAGAAACAGTCCATAATAGGTGGATTGGTGGTTGAGAGTATCGTGATTGAGTATAATAGTCCCATCCACCCAAGGCTCAGTCTTTAAAGATGGGTCATGGCTCACCACTTTGTGCCAAATTTCATGAACAAACAATTCAAAAATCACATTTCTCAATACAAGATTGCAAAGAATGTGGGTCCTTCACCATCTACCATACATAATATCGTTAAAAGATTCAGGGAATCCAGAGAAATCTCAGTCAATAGAGCAAGGAAACCTCTGTTGAATGTGCTTGACCTTCGAACCCTCAGATGGCATTGCTTGAGAAACATCATGCTCTACTGTGTTAAAAATAGCCACATGGAGGTGGTCCAAAAAGATGACATTTATCTTTCTAAAATTCTAATGATAGCATGCAAAAAAGGCTATCACTCGGATTGAGCAAAGGAAAGAAAAAGTGGAGGAGATACACTCAATGGAGAAAATGACATAAATTCTCATTAGGTCACATATATAATAAGCACTGGGAAAAATGGTTTGCATATAAAGAAGCGGAACAATTCTAACACTTTACTTGTAATGCTTTATTTTGTTATTATACATATAGTGTACCTTGTTCTTTGTCTTTGTATGTTGTGTTGTAATAAGAAAAATGCTAAATAGAGAGTTTAAAAAAATAGCCACATGGGTTCAGAAGTATTTCAGATGAGAATGAGAACTGCAACAGTACTAGTATTCCCGAACAATTAAAATGTGTAATTAAAAGGAAAGGTGATGGGACACATTGGTAAACATGCCTCTGTCCCATATATTTTAAAAACAAGCCTATCCCGGGCGAGAAAAAGTAATGCAGACCTCTGTGGTTGAAGTCATAGATGTACTCAGGACACAGGACGGCAATCAACTGACTGGGTTTTCCTGCAGGCCAGCAAATGATCCCATCCCACTCAGGAAGACAGTAATTCTCTGACAATACACAAAATATCAGATTCATATGTTTTACAAGTTTAACATTTATTTAACACAAAATATATGCAATCAAGTTATTCTCCATCAAAATGTTTGAAGGATACATGTCAAATAATCTCTTTAACATAGGAAGCCAGATAAGAATCCTGATCTTTTCTCATAGCCAAACAGCATTGGATCTGTTTTCATTCCACAGTTCTGGGTATGTCCGTATCCTGCAATATAGTGACTCCGTCATCACTACAAATAACAGAGGAACCTGAGCTCAAATCCATATTCCTTATCTTGCTATAAACAGGGCCACAGTCTAATTTGATCCTGGTCTTCAGGAAATTGGATCTGTAGGGTTAGGAAGATACATGCCTTTGATTCCCAGTTCATTCATTAGGATCCAAGCAGAGAAGCGACCACACACCTCCACGTTTTCCCTATTCAAATACAGTCACACGAGTAGAGTAACTCGACCAAGAATGGTGACACAAAATAAAACGTTGCACTTTTCTAAGCGTGTAAAGTGGATAATGGCAGAATACCACAGCAAGTGATTGGGAGCACTTCGACCCAATCCGACCCAGTATTCTGCCATACATTATAGTTATCCACTTTACATGCTTAGAAAAGCGCAACATTTTAGTTTGTGTCACCATTCTTGGTCAAGTTATTCTACTCGAGTAACTGTATTTAAAGGGTTAGTTCACCCAAAAATGAAAATTAAGTCATTAATTACTCACCCCCATGCTGTACCAACCCCGTAAGACCTTCGTTCATCTTCGGAACACAAATAAAGATCTTTTTGATTGAATCTGAGAGCTGTATCACTCTTCCATAGACAGCCTGAGGGACTGCCTCTTGACGGCCCAGAAAGTCATTAAAAGAAAAGGTTTAAATATTCCATGTGCCTACAGTGGCTCAACTATAACTTTATCAAGCGACGAGACTACTTTTTGTGCGAAAAAAAAAACGTAAATAACGACTTTATTCGACTTTCCATTACTTCCTTATGGGCGCATGCGCGAGAACTGAGACGAGACCGTTCTTCTTCGACTACTTTTTGTTACCGGCTGCTCACCGCTTAGGAGTTTTACCGCCCCCTACCGTATAAGATGACGTACTGCTTGTAAACAGAACGTTTTGCGCCTCCGGCTATATCAGTACGTCATCTTATACGGTAGGGGGCGGTAAAACTCCTAAGCGGTGAGCAGCCGGTAACAAAAAGTAGTCGAAGAAGAACGGTCTCGTCTCAGTTCTCGCGCATGCGCCCATAAGGAAGTAATGGAAAGTCGAATAAAGTCGTTATTTACGTTTTTTTTTCGCACAAAAAGTAGTCTCGTCGCTTGATAAAGTTATAGTTGAGCCACTGTAGGCACATGGAATATTTAAACCTTTTCTTTTAATGACTTTCTGGGCCGTCAAGAGGCAGTCCCTCAGGCTGTCTATGGAAGAGTGATACAGCTCTCAGATTCAATCAAAAAGATCTTTATTTGTGTTCCGAAGATGAACGAAGGTCTTACGGGGTTGGTACAGCATGGGGGTGAGTAATTAATTACTTAATTTTCATTTTTGGGTGAACTAACCCTTTAAGTAGGGAAAATGTGGAGGTGTTTGGTCGCTTCTCTGATTGGCTCATTTTAAATAAACTGGGCTAGTAAAGTGCGATCAAAGTGTCTCGTGCGCCAGAGCGATTGAGTGCACACACTGAGACGAGAGAGTTATGCATCAACTCGTCTTAGTTAAGGCAATGACAATAATATGAAGAAAAAAAAAAACGGCAGAGTATCCCTTTAAAGGGTGGTATAATGTCTCTTTCTCTTACAATATGTAAAATAAGTCTCTGTTGCCCCCAGAATGTGTATGTGAAGTTTCAGCTCAAAATACCCCACATGTCACTTTTACAGCATGTTAAAAGTTGTCCCTTCTTGATGGTCAGTAAAAACGTGTTGTTTCGTGTGTGTCCTTTTAAATGTAAATGAGCTGCTGCTCCTGGAAAAGAGGGCGGAGCTTCAAGAGCTTGTGTGTGTTAGACACGCAGACAAGTACTAAAAATGTCAGAAACTGTTCTGTCTTTTATGTTTAAAGGGTCTTTAAAGGGTTATGTTTAAAGAAATGTGAAATTATTTTTGAATTTGGAGCTTTCTTGACTGAGAAAAGACAGAAAATGTATTTTTGGCTTATGTGGATGAAAGACAACAACTCCCAGAATGCACTTGCTTCGCTGCCCTAAGAGGACACGCCTACCGGTAACAGAGCAGTAGGTTAACAACAAGTCTAGGTTACTAGTGAGTCTCTGTGATGAGTCTGCCCGAAAATGTGTTTGGAGATCGCCCAAAATGTCCGGGATTCGGCTTTTGCGTTCTACAGTCGCCATTCATCATTTTTACTGTGGCGAACAGGACGAGTGAGGGCCGACAACACGAGGCCGGTGGCGTGATTACCGATGAGTGACACCTGTGAGACGCACCGGTCTCGTATCTCTCACAGAGGAGCGTGATTTTCTTAGCAATGTTAAAACACACATCAACTGATCACTTGTTTAGCGTTCATGTAAACACTACATTCAGATTCACCAATCAGAATGAATTCAGTTAGATTGAAACAAAAGCTGTGCATGTAAACAATGAATGGCGACTGCAGAAAGCAAAAGTTGAATCCCGGACATTGACGGCCGGACAGGTCCAGGAAAAAGAGGACGGTAACCCCTAAAGTTACTACTCAGCTTTCTCCACAGAACAACAGCCTAATAGCTTAGCTTCCAAAAAAAAAGATGGCCGACACTATGTGTAATCCCAATCCTACATAATGCATCCGTCTGCGTATTCAGTACCTTCGTTCATATTTTCAAAAAGTTTCTGCCGGTGAAATCAGACGCACTGGCACTGATCTGTGACTGGTCTGTTGGCGCGTTAGGCCCATCCCCCAATGGGCGGGTTTGAAAGGGTGAGATCTAGTGCTTGTAGTCTTTACAGAAATCCCCCTCTCTTACATTTCCTCCTACAACGACGTAAAATGATGATCATTGTAGGAGGAAGTGAAAAAGGTAAATAGCAGATTTCTCTCGTCTCAGGGGAAAATGAGACAGTGTCGCACGACCATTCAATAGTATAACTGGGTTTCTAACAATGGAAAGCTTAATGCAAATGGGTGGAGTGTCCCTTCAAACTGGAGTCAGAGAATGATGGAGAGACTCAAGAAGAAGTGACATTTATAATGCAACAGGATGTTTCTGATTGGTTAGTTGATGAATTTATGTTGCTGATGTGGAGTAAAACTATCTTCAAGTCTTTGATTAGCATATTCTGTCATGATAATCTATAAAATCGCTCCTTTTCCTCTTCCAACTGCCTGTTCCTGGGGGCAGGGTTTATGTAAATTTTAGGGGAGGAATATCGTGTAGTCCCTAGTATAGCCAACTAGCCGTTTGTTGTAGTCCTTAAAAACGTATTTCTTTAAAAGCAAAAATCTTTCCTTGCTTTGAACTTTGAGCGGCTTAACTGGAGATGATGTCAATGTTTACACAGCAACATTACACACTAACTAAAGTTAGACAAGTGAAATCATAATCAAGTTCAACCACCCCTTTAATTTGAGGTGTCAACGATTAATACTTTAGGGGTGTTGCTAACAATGACTACGTTTACATGCAGCCAATAACCCGTTCAAAACCGGGATATTAGCAATAACCCGGTCGCGAACGGCCATGTAAACACCTGCAAAAACCTGATTATGCTCATATCCCGGATTTTAAAAACCAGGATATTATACCTGGGGCACCCCTTTTATAAATTGAAATTTTGGTTTTGTAAACGCGTATCGGCATATCCCTATAGTGATTTGTTTTCTGCGCATGTTCTATTCGCAAGAAATCTTGGTATTTTTTTAGAGTAGAGAAACTTCGCCGTTTACGTCGGGATATTGCAATTCCATGTATAGAGGAGAAACTCTCTCTGCTCATGCATGTAAACGAGTTATTCCTAATGTTTCAGAATCCCGAATAGTGACCATAACCCGAAAATTGGCTGCATGTAAACGTAGTCAATGATGGTGACATTGCATAACAGCCCTTTAGTCACACATAATGTTTATTATAATACCTCTGACCACGTCTAACTGTGCACGGATGTTTCTCTCACACCTCGCGCGTGCACCAATTAGAAGAAAGATCTGTTCATCTCTGGTGAGGACATCATCAGAATCAATCTGTAAGAAGAGTGACAGAGAAAGAGAACATTATCCTCACATATTTTCACTAGAATCCCAAACCAAACCTGAATATCTTTATATGTGATTCTGAGATTCGTAGTGATTTTTTTGTATCTGAATTGCTACATTTTCTAGATAAAATTACTGAAAGTGTGTGATATGGTGTGATTTTAATTAGCCTTCAACTAACAGATTTCAACCTTTTTCTTTTTGTTATTCCTAGCGAAAAATAATGTGCTGAACTGATTGAATGTGCACTTGTAAAATATTTTTTAAAAACAAAAAAACTTGAATAGCTGATAATATAATATCAAAGAAATAAAAGGCCACTTAAGTGCACGTAAATAGAGTTAAAAACAACAAAATGTTTCGTTAAAAAGTCCTCTTAATTTTAAATAATACCAAATATGCTTATTTTGATCTGTTGACTAACATGCTTCAGCAAATATAAATCACATGATGATCATTTGTAGTTATTTGATATTACACTTTAAGTAAATATGTTTACAAATATCTTCATCATTGCAAATGTGAAATAGAAATAATATTAAATTATATTTTAGTTTATAAATGCTTGTCAGAACATTTGACAGACTTCTCTGTGAGTTTTGGTCTTTTCTAGGACCATCAATTTTGTCCATAAGAAACTTTTTTTGTTTATTTTTATATAATGTATGTATATATATATATATATATATATATATATATAATGTATGTATATATATATATATATATATATATATATGTGTGTGTGTGTAGTATTTGCTCTCTTATAATTAGGGCCCGAGCACTAACGGTTGAAACTGTTAGGATTATTTTTTTTTTCTTTTTTCTTTTTTTTCTTCTTTTTTCTCTGTCTCATTACTCATTGCTTTTAAGTCATCTGTAATGCAAGACACAGCACTACATACTTAATCTAGATCAGTATTGTTGAGGGGAGGGGTGGAAGCACGTCAATAAAGAAAATCAATGTTTATGACGCTCTCTTAGTAGATTTGTTGTTTTACCATTTTATCTGCATTGAACAGGCGTGACACGTCACATCACAAAAGACTGACAAAAGACTTTTTCCAAGCATATACTGTACAGGTTAGTTTGTCATTTTCCACGATCTCAGCTGAAATCATTGACATAACCATCCATTTATCACCACATCTAGCACACCTTCTTTTAGGCTAATGTGCTGTCTCTCAGTGTTGTGAAATATTTTCACTGTCCTGTGGTATGTGACGAGCTCTCTTCAACCTTCAGGATGAGAGAACATATCCAACCATACACACCCCACACCCATGTGCATCCCTCACCGTCCTTCAACATTATGAGACCTGATCTATGGGTCCTCAAGACTGGAGAAACACAGGAGCATTTGTGCCCTGAATACTGTACATTCACAACCACCAAATAAAACCTCAAACTCACACTCCTAACATGAGACAAAGAAAGACAAAAAGAAATAGCTCTTTGGCTGAACATGATTCATTGGACCCATGTGGCAAAAACCCAATAAAATCAACCTTGTAAAACTAACTAGAATCTGTGGTGTTCAATTAATATGAATAAATTGTCTTAGTGGAATAAATGGTTTTCATTTAGTTAACGGCGCTACACTACGCACATGCAAAAACGGCGCTATACTACACACATGGCACCCTTTATCGTTAATATAACACGCGAACCCAAGACGTCATAAATCCTTTAGTGTGAATATGACACGCAGACCCTACCCCACACCTAAACTTAGCCCTCACAGCGCGTTTTATATTAACGATAACGGGTGCCATGTGTGTAGTATAGCGCCGTTTTTGCATATAGCGTTCTATGTGACGTTAAAGGATGAAATGCGTTGGTATTTCCTTGCTCCTGCTGCAACCAGCAACCAGTTCAGCCAGCCAGTGCAACCAGTTCAGTTCAGAAGAAAGAACCAATCATAAAATCAGCACAACCTCACACCCAGATACCTTCTCCTCTCCCTCTCACATAATGGCCATTACCTGGAACACCACGTGGAGGAGTTCCTCAAGATCAGCCACCTGGTGTCTTGGACGATGATGCCCGGAAGACTGTTTTTTTAAAAGTTGGTTGGATGGTTATCTATTTCAACCGTTGCCAGCAGGAGAGACCACCTGCACCCTGGCACAGTATATGGACTATGTACTGTGGTTGAGTGGCTCCTCTCTCTCAATAAGCAAAGTTGATGAAGACACCAGCGCCATTCAGACGCAGCCTCCCCAGCCCACTCGAGTAATCCTGTTGCTCATTATCTCTCGGAACTCCTTCCCAGTCCCTACCCACTCTTCCTGTCACGGCCCTTTGCTCATCCAGCACCTCACCATTCCTGCTACGGTCACAGACCCAGGGCCCCCAACCTACCACGAGACCAGAGCCTGAGCCAGAGCCAGTCTTCATATCTGACCAGGTACAATAGTTAGCACCCTTTGCTGTCATTCTCATGCGGAGAGAGCTGGTTTTTGGCTGGTTCATACTCTTACGGCAAAAGCATAGCCATGGGAACGTTATGGTCACGGCTCACTTTTTTTTTTTTTTTTAAAAGACCGCGACCCACCTCAGCTGCCTCAAGTCCTGGTCCTTCTACCTCTGGGTACAATGCCTCGATGGTAAGCACTGATGGTAGCCTGACGTAGTCATACTCAGATTCTAGTCAGAATGCGAGTCTGATACTGCTCCATTGGGCTTGATTATGGGGCGTGTTTTAACCGAATCTTCTATACAGTGATCTTCTGAATCTTCTATAACAACATTGATGGCTGAATCAACACATCTGAATTCTCTAGCTGCAGCCATTCTTTGTTGTAGATGAATTTAACCCATGCGCTCTTTGGTGACGTGGATGATTACGTTATTGTTGATCATCTGTCCCTCATCGTATAAAGCCCGCCCTGACAATTTGATTGGTCCGAACAGCTTTGGTTCGGGAATTCTTGCTTTACAATGGTTCAAGTCCAGACCAAACTTCCAATCTCCAAATATTGTGGGCGGGGCTAAGTTCGGATCCCCAAAGGTGCACAGTCGGGTCAGTGCTTTCCTGGAGGCATGGAGATCTTCTACCATCAAAGCGTAGGTGTAGCGATCCACAACACAGTAGGTGGCGGGTTCTTAGGGAAGCACAAACTGAAAGTCAGGTTCCCGAGAGGGTCGCAGAAGTTCAAGACCTCGCTTCATCCCCTCTTGGGATCTCTCCTTGGTCTTACAGGCCTTATGGAGGGACCCGTTCGAGTCAGTCGAGCTCAGTGCCCTCTCCATGAAGACAGCTCCCCTGACTCCGTCAAGAGGAAAGGCACCTTCAAGCCTTTTCCATCAGCGATACATGCCTAGAGTTCGAGCCGGCATACTCTTGCGTGGTCCTGACCTATGTGCTACAGGTATGTGCCAAAAGTTCACACTACTTCCTTCAGAAAACAAGTGGTTAACCTGCAAGCACTCCCTCGTGAGGAGGGAGACCCGACCCAGTCTCCAGTCATTGCGCTCTATACATATACCTGGATCGCATGCAGAGCCTCAGAAGATTGGATCAGCTATTTGTCTGCTTCGAAGGTCAGCAGAAGGGGAAGGCTGTCTTTAAACAGAGAAAAGCCCACTGGATAGTGGATACCATTCATCTGGCTTATCAAGCCCAAGATGTGCCTTGTCCTTTGGAGCTCAGAGCTCATCCAACATAGGTATTGAGGCACCTAACGGTGCTTCTTTGGCAGACATTTATAGAGCTGCAGCCTGGGCTACACCAGACCTTGTCACAAGAACCAGTGTCACAACTTGGACAACTTTTCAGTGTAGTGCTTATATGAGCGCCCTCCCCCTCCATGAGGCGGAAACGTGCACTGTTTCGTCTCTGAAATAAATATAAACCCAGGACGCCTATAAACCCCTTAGCATGCCAGAATTCCCTACCAGGCCTGTTACTCATGGTATGCCCCTTTCAGGTAAGCCCTTGTAACCTGGTTAGTGCTCCATATATAGTGGTCCCTAACGGTGACCCATCCATCCATCCATCAATCCATACATCTTCCGCTTATCTGGGGCCGGGTCGCGGGGGCAGCAGTCTAAGCAGAGATGCCCAGACTTCCCTCTCCCTAGACACTTACTCCAGCTCTTCCGGGGGGACACCGAGGTGTTCCCAGGCCAGCCGGGAGACATAGTCCCTCAAGCATGTCCTAGGTCTTCCCCATGGTCTTCTCCCAGTGAGACTTGCCCGGAACACCTTCCCGGGAAGGCGTCCAGGAGGCATCCGGAACAGATGCCCAAGCCACCTCAGCTGACCCCTCTCGATGTGGAGGAGCAGCAGCTCTACACTGAGCTCCTCCCGAGTGACTGAGCTTCTCACCCTATCTCTGAGGGATCGCCCAGTCACCCTGCGGAGAAAGCTCATTTCGGCCGCTTGTATCCGGGATCTTGTCCTTTCGGTCATGACCCAAAGCTCATGACCATAGGTGAGAGTAGGAATGTAGGAATGACCGGTAAATCAAGAGCTTAGCTCAGCTCCTTCTTCACCACAACAGACCGGTACATCGACCACATTACTGCAGAAGCTGCACCGATCCGTCTGTCAATCTCCCGTTCCATCCTTCCCTCACTCGTGAACAAAACCCCAAGATACTTAAACTCCTCCACTTGAGGCAGGGTCTCTCCACCGACCTTAAGTGGGCAAGCCACCCTTTTCCGACTGAGGACCATGGCTCCGGATTTGGAGGTGCTGATTGAACAATGACCCCATTTGATATGTTCTTCCACTGTTTGGTTTCCCAATCGGTGAACCCTGTGTCTTCCCCATATTCGCTGTGGCCTGGAGTCTTCCCCTCATCACTATTCCCTATTCTCTATGTAGGATTTGTTTTCACATACTAACCTCCCCCCTTCGTTAGAAAAAGAGAACACTTCCACAACTGTGGTACTCAGCCGTAATATACTGTATAAGATAGATGATGTTTTCAATAAATAAATAAAATCATCATAAGAAGCCATACGACTGGACTGACCTCTCT